GAAAAGACTGGCTCCTTAAGGCTGGGGAAGGAGTGGGTGGAGAGCATCTTTCCTTCTGACCCTAAGGGCTGGAATTCCCCTCAACCAGGTGATCCTCTTCTTAAGGGGCCACAGAAGCTTATGGGAACAAGGAGCAGCAGCTCCGGCAGCACCAGGCCTGCTTCCTATGTGATGGGCAGCAGCTGGGTTTTCCCTGACTTGATGTCCCTGGATCCCACCCAGGTTCTGGCGGGCCATCAGCACCCCATATGTGTTTGGTAAACAAAACCGAACTTCCAGCTGTCATTATAAGGCTGTGTAAGAGGCAACAGAATTTCAGTTCAGATGCCTCAGGGGCACAGTCTTTGTCTTAGAAGCTAGTTTGACCTAAACTAGACAAATAATAAAACCTATTAATGTATTAACCTTGGGCAAACTCCAAGAGATGGTGAGGAACAGGGAGGCCTGGTGTGCTGCAGTTCATGGGCTAGCAAAGAGTCAGCCACGGCTTGGCGACAACAATGAACAACAAATTAACCTCAAAATGTGCCCAAGAGACCTAAGAAGTGTTAGGAGGGGCGGACCAATTTTACCAAGTGGTAAAATTTGTTAAATTCATATGTGACCTCTTAGTGAAGTTCCCCATCCCACAAAACAGTCGTCACCCCCATCTTTACAGGGGATGAACCTGGTTTTGTGAGATGGGCAGAGCGACCTGCCCAAGGTGACCCATTAGAAAGCAGCAGATCCAGATGAGAGCATCTAGTGTGGGGCTTGGCCTTAGGAGCTTGAAAAATGTAACAGAAGAGCAAAGGAAAGAACACAATGCGTGACCTTGGACAAGCTCCATAACCACAACTAGCCTTACAGTTCCTATCTGTAATGTCCTAGTCTGATACTCTTAGCATCTTACCATCCCCAAACTTACTTACCCCTTCTGGACAGCTCAAAGGCTGGTTTGGAAGTAAGAAACACTTGCAAAAAGATTAGCCATTTCCTGGAGGGAGCTCATGGTTCCAACCTCCAACTGCTGTTGGTCAGTGTCATTTATCAGCTAAGAAAGGATTTGAGAACACCCTTTCCTACCATTATTTTAACACAGTCTCACTCTGGAGCAGAAGTGCCTCTTACACATGTGGGGAAAACAGCAGCATTTACTGTTCGTGTTTCTGAAATATTTCAAGACCAATTATTAACAGGAAAATGTGCAAAGCCTAATAAGAAAATGTACAAATGCTGCCAGGAGGTATTATTTATTTGTTCTTTCCTTTATTCTTACTTCCCTTCTCTCCATTTCCCAAAGGACAGGAAAAAGAAAAGAAAGATGATCTGATACTTTAATTAAGGAAGAATAAATGGGTCACCCTTGTCGGTTTACAACCTGTAGCCGCATTAAATGGTGTTTCTTTGGTATAAACTCGATTGCCATGGTGAGGCTTTACTGTAGCAGAATAAAGACAAAAGGAGAGCTCCCACAGGACTGACCAAGGTCACTGTGAAAATCAATGCAGCATTAGCGTCAGACCTGGGAATCCTTGACTCTGCTTGCTCTGTCCCGGCTGGTGTCCAGGCTGCCTCCCACCAGGAAACTTTGGCTGGCTGGTAGGTAATTATATGTTCTAATAGTCACTGACACTCCAGCTGTCAACACCACATCCCAAGTTCCCGCATCAGTTAGAATACCAAACTACCAACACTGTTTCTAAGACTGATTACTTATAGCAGTATGTTAAGCTCCAAATGATTCAGAACTAGGAGCCTGCCCAGCAACTTCTAAGATGAACGTCTGGGACAGCAGAGAGACAAGTCAACTTGCAAAGTCCTTCATCTTACACCTCATCTGCCTTACAGTAGCTGTGTGATTTTGGACAAGTCCCATAACTGCAATTAGCCTCAGTGTTCCTATCTATAAAATGGGACAATAAAGTTTGCCTTGTGGAATTTGGGATGGCACACAGTGAAGACTTAGTGCAAGGCAGGTGTCTAGTACCTGTTGTTGGCTATCTAAATGAACAATACTTCTTTGATCCCATCCCTTGAAAACTGGAGACAATAATTCCTACTTCACATCACACTAAATGTGATTGGAAAATATATGTATAGATATATCTATATGTTGCCCAGACTGAAAAATACTCAAAAACTACAACAACAACAACAACTGGCTGATCATATCAGACTGAATTTAGTCTAGTTGATGGAACTTATCTTACATTTATTATTTAGGAAAAATTTTAACTAAATACTATATTTTAGCTTTCTTTTTGAAAATGATTTCCAAACGTGAGGAAAATTTAGCTGGAACAACCAATTAGCATATTTCCTAGACACAAATCATCATCCTGTGCACAAATGAGTCAAGAACTGAGAGGTAAATGCCTGAAAATAGCTTAGAGATGCAGGTGAGCTGGCTTCCTTTGTTTCCCTGCTCACTGTGTGCATCATGGCCTGGCAGGTGATCACACTCACATCCCGAATGGCAGGGCTGATGCGTCAAACTGGACAAATCCTGAAACTGAAATCCTTGGTGCAACTGTCAGAACACCTGGTCATTAGACTGTGCAGTGAAAGCTCTGTGCTGGGGGAGGGGCCTACAGATGACAGTGGTCCTTGGAGTTCATGTTCAGCCTATGGATTTAGGAAAGGAGAAGAAGCATCTGGAAGAAGGTGATCAGCATCCCCCAAGCAAGCTGACTCCAGATCCAGGTCAGGAGCCAGAAAAAATTGGTTATATCTCTGGGCTTCTGGGTTCGATGTTCGACTTCTAACTCTGTCACTTAACATCTGTGTGATGTTAGAAGAGGTACCTAATCTTGTTGGGCCTTGATATCTTTCTCTGTAAAACAGGGAAGCACTATTTTCCCAGTTCAGTTAACAAGAGTGTTTGTTTTGAGGTTCACATGAGAAAATCTTAAGATAAAGCAATACCTAGATATGAACCTCCGTTATTACTACAGTGATAGTAGAAACTTATAATGCTCACTAAAAATGACCATATCATGAGTACTTACTTCCTTTTAGGCATTGTCAGTGTGGTCCTTTATGTTTGTGATCCTGCTTTGTGCTTGCACCAATATCTGAAGGGGGGTGCTATTATTATGTCCATGTTATAGGTGGGGAAATGAAGGTCCAGAACGGTTGACTAGCTTGCGCAAGGTTGCACAGCTAATTAGCCATGTTGGTGGAATGTGGACTCAGGCAGCCGGACTCAGGAGCCCAGGTGCCTACCCTTTAGGCTGTGAGGTTTCCTGAGAGCATGACAGACAAGAAGTACTTTGTCAGCAAGATTTAAGGAGTATTCTACTTTCCCCGCCACTCAGCGGCCTCAGGTTTGCTTTGAGGAGGAGAGCTGGAGTCTCAAGGTCATCCCAGCCCAGAGCTGGGGACGGTGAGCAGGGGCAGCTGGAGTGAGCCTGCAGGTAGGGTGCCACACCCACGAAACAGGAGGCAGGAGGCAGGAGAGTCTCTTGGGCACAGGATGGGCTTCAGAGCAAGAGTCACAAGGATCGCATCCCTGACATCTACACAATAAGCTGTCCCACCAACAACTTCCCAGTCTGTAAAATGGGAAGTTTACACTACCCTCAGGAGGCTGCTTCAGGGATCAGAGTAATGAATGCAAAGCTCCTATTGCAATTAATATGCGCCACACAGTGGGTGTTCAGTAAATGGCTGCTCCCGTGTGTCTCTCTCCGAGACCTATTGTTATTCTAGGTGACAAAGTGTAAGGGATGGTGGCATTGACAGATTCAGTCTAGACAGAAACCTCCTGAGGAGAGTACAAATCAGGGGTTAGAACTATGGGGTCTGGGGGTATGGGCTGCCTGAATCCACATTCTGGCTCCGCCACTTGCAAATCTTGTGACCTTATGCATGTTACTTAATCTATCTGTGCCTCAGTCTCCTTGTCTGTAAAGTGGGCATAATAATAATACCCATTTCATTCAATATTAATTAGTCTGTGTAAAGCAGTTATGACAGTGCTCACTTTGTGGTAAGCTTTCAATAAACGCTTGCTGACTCCCATCAGGGCCCTGCATGTCCCTGGGTGGTGGGGCAGCCATAAGCCTTCAGTGGGCTATGCTTTTTTCTGCAAACCCGCCCGTTCCTTGACGACTTCCAATCAGATCCTGGAAGGGTGGAAATCTCTGAAGCCAGGCCACGTGGCAGGCTACACTCACCTGGTGGGCAATGGGGATTTGAAAATGGTGTCCATGACACCTAGACAACAGACCTGGGAGTCGGGAAAGCACACACACTCATGCACACACACCTATGTCTGAGTTTCTGTATTGTCTGCATTTACAGCCAGGTTTTGACTCAACTGAGTGAGTGGTTTCATTTCACTTTGGATAAAAGTGAGCCCCCCCCCCCCGCATGGGGTCCCTGAGTGGTCCATGAATAATTCCCACCTTGATGCAGGAAAGACCTGGATGCAGGTCTGAGAGATGGAGGGAGAGCCAGTTCATTCCATGCAAGTGAAAAAGCACAGGCGCGCTCAGACCCAACCAGAAATTCTGCTCTGCACGGTTCAGTTAGAAAACTACAGGGAGACAATAATGTACTTCTAGTAGAGAGAGGGAGAGAGGGAAGAAGAGGGCGGGAGAGGGAGAGGGAGGGAGAGAAGGAGGGGGAAGGAAGAGGCGGAGAGAAGAGGGGCAGGATGAGAGGGAGAGGGAACGGAATAGAAAGAATACGCCTAGAATCAAGATCAAGGCACACGGATATCTTGTAATCGAAGAATCAGGAGCATTCCCACATAGCCTTGCTCCCAGTCCTCCTCCGTCCCTGCAACTCGAGGGACCTGCTTATTGTCAAGCCTGCGTCTCTCCTTTAAACCCGAGGAGCCTCGATCTTCGTGACAGCAAGGCTGCCCGCGCACACCGCCCAGGGCGCAAACCAGCCCGGAGCCCCCGCGCGCTGCGGCCGCGCTCCCTGCACCGGGGACGCGGGCTGGGTGTGCGAGGAAGGGCGCCCTCCCAGAGCCCCGCCGCCCCGGGATCTCCCGCCCGCCGCCCTACCTGAGCTGGCGCGGCTCGCAGTCCACGCCGGGCAGCAGCAGCCGGGCGGCCTGGCGGACGTCGTCGCTGTCCATGGAGAAGCTGCGGCGGTGGCCGGCGTGCGCCACGGCCACCCGGATCCACTCCATCAGCGGCGGCAGCACGAGGAAGGGCCTGCGGCGGGGGAGGGACCGAGACACGTTAGCGCGGCAGTAGCAGGGGCTGCCCGCTCAGCCCCACCCCTGCTCATCGCAGACTTCCCCACCGCCTCCCTATCACCCGCCTCCCCCTTTTCCCTGGAGACCCTGTCTCTCAATTCAAAGTGAGAGAACCTTTGGAGACATCCGGACCGCACCGGTGACCTCGGGGCAGGCTCTCTGGAGTCTTTGGGCCTCAGTTTCCTCATCTGTAAATGGGGGATAATGTGGCTGAAAGGATACGACGTGACTCTTCCGTGAGTGTAATCTCCCTCGGCGATCAAAGGAACATTAAGGAGATGACTCACTTAAAGCACCAAGCAGAGGGTCAGGTGCTTAGTAGAGAATCCAATCCACTCCTAGGGTTATCAGGACTTGGGGCTCCCCACGGTGAGCCCAATCTTAAAGTGCCCTCCAGCACTCCCTTCCCACAGCTAGCTGCTTCCTGTCATCCTTCCCAAATTCTCCCAAGGCCTCAGCTCTGCTCAAGCACCAGACTGCCGGCAGACTTCAGCATCTGGGAAGAAGCAGTCTTCCGGGAGAACCTGGAGGGGCAGCCCAGAGCTACAGGCGACGTGCGGGGGAGGAGGGGGCGGTGCTCTGGGGCCTTAGCCACACCCCCAAGCTGCGGGAAATATCGGCTCCCCACTAGCTAAAGGGGTCACAGTAGGGGTCCAACTCTCTGCAACCGAGATCTTGCTTCTGGCCGAACTTTCTAGGTGTAATACATTTGTGCCATCTTCCTGTTCCTGAAAGTGATTATTATAAACTCCATCTTCGTATTAGGACTGAGGACAGGGAGCTTTTGGGAAACCCTGATACCCGAGGCCTATCCCAGGATTCTAATTTAATTTATCTAGGATGAGGATGGACATTGATAGTTTTTCAAACCTCCCCCAGGTGAACATAACGCGCCTCAGAAGTCTCTGGAGAGTTTCTTAAAATGCAGATTGCTGGGCTCCACCCCCCAGAGTGTCCAATTCAGAAGATCAGGGGAGGTGGCCAAGAATTTGCATTTCTAATGAGTTCTGGGTCTATGCTGAGGCTGATGCTACTAGAGGTGCCTGCGTGCTCAGTCTTGTCCGACTCTTTGAGACCCTAGGGGCTGTAGCTTGCCAGGCTCCTCTGTCCATGGAATTTCCCAGGCAAGAATACTGGAGTGGGTTGCCATTGCTCACTTCTGGGGATCTTCCTCACCCGGGACAGAACTCCCATTTCCTGTGTCTCCTGCATTGGTAGACCGGATTCTTTACCACCTTGCCTTCTGGGAAGCCCTAGAGGGGCACAATCAAAGAGCTTCTGCTCTAAAGTATGGTATAGGGCCTGGGGGTCACCTGGTTTAGTGTGTGTACGTGTAAATGCAGATTTCCTGGCCTTGTCTCCAGTAATGCTGATTGCACAGGGCTCATGAATATAATTTTCATAAGCAGCCCCTATAATATTGATTTAGGTAGACCAGGGGCCACACTTTGAGAAATGCACGGTGCAGATCAAAAAGGTTTCCTATTCATTCATTATGGCTACAACTGGGTTGAGGCACGTGGGGCAGGTGGGTGTAAAATTTAGGAAGGCCAGATCATGTCAACATGTTCCAGCAGCTTTCTTGCCTCACCCTAGCCCTGGAGCTGCTGTTCTATCCAGCGTGGCTGCCATGGGTGGGAGAAGAAAGTGGTAAGTAAAGGGTTTATTTACCCAAGTCAGCAGCCCCCTCACTGTATGCAGGTGTCTCCCCATTCTGGTGGCAGGTTCCAGTTTTTCTAGAATGCTTTCTGTTTATCCAATGTTAAGATTTAACAGTTACATTCATCTCAGTTAATCCCATTCATGATCTCAGCTAAATGCTTAGGACAACCTATAAGCTAGTTATGATTATGCCTATTTTCTAGATCAGGAGAATAAAGTGTACTGAGGTTAAGTAACATGCCCTGGCTCACAAGGTTGGCAAATGTGAGAGCTGGGAATCAGACCCAAGACATTTGACTTCACAGCCCATGTGCAGTAGCCCCATGTGGTACTTGTCCAACTTCCCAGCATGTACCTGTTACCCCAAGGGGGCCCATCTGGTCATGGACCTTCGATAGCAGGTTGTTTCATTCCTTCTCACTCAGCTCCATTCTCTAAGGTTTCCAATCCTTTGAAAACCCACACCTTACTTAACCTTCCAACCACTATTCAAACCCCACCTCTCCCTAAACATTTCTCCTGGGACTCCTCCCGACATGGACCCTTCCCGCGGTGGCCGCCACCCCAGCGGCCTGACCTAGCAGCCTTGCAGATGCCGCCCGAGAAGGTGAACTCCATGAGACAGGGGCCTGGGACTGCTGGATTCACCGACCCAGCCCATCCCCAGTCCCAGGACGGTGCCTGGCAGGCTGTGAGCACCTAATAAATAATGTGCTCATGAAACGGACTAAGATTTATCAATTCCTCACTGGGCAAAACAGATGAAATCGAGTCTCTGAACCTGTGGACCTGTGGGGCAGGTTCCCAGGGAGTTTCTGCCTGGATCAGCCAGCTGCTTAGGCTGTCGTCCTCATTCTCCCATTCTCTCCATCACCTAAACCGAATCAGGCACTCAATAAACACACACTGACTTGAAACTGAATTGGATTCTACAGTCTCAGGTGAGCAGAACTTATTTTTGTCACCATGACTCCATCACCGCTGAAACCAAACCAGGATGCCCTTCTGCGCTCTCTTCTCGGGGGCGGCACCCTAACTCCTGGCCTGCCTCTCCTTTGCTCGGGCCCAGTCCCTCAAGCACAGCCCACAGCTCCCAACGCCTCAGGGTCCTCTGTAGCACTGCACTTCGGCAGCTGTCTTTCACGCTAGATGCCTGGGGCACACAGTCAACTCCCGATGGACACAGAAGAGGGGAGAAAGACGCCCTACTGCCTTCGAGATAACACTTCTACCAAGACAGGCAGCGAGCATTCGAGTAAGAAACCTTGAACCCCAGATTCCACCGCCTCTGGAATTTTCTATGGACTTGTTCTCCCCTTTCAACATTGCCTTCTTTTCGTCACTCTGACCTCAATAGTTTATAAGCTCATGAATTCTTTGCCAGCAGCTCATTTAAAAATCTTCTTATCTTGTCTACTCAGAGGGAAAGAAAAATAGCATTATTTGTGAAGTTTCTTTTGGAGGAGGTTGGAGGTGGGAAAGAATGCTAGGGTCTTGAGTTAAGGAGAGGGTGGAGAATGCTAAGAGGGGAAAAGACTGCATTCTCCTGATACATTTTTTAAGAGAACACTTTGTTGGTGAAGTGTGTAGTGACTAAAACCTAGAGGAGGCCCAAGGAACTCATGGTTTAGTGAAGCAGATTCAGCCTAAGAACCAAGGCCCAGTGTGGGAGGTGGGTAGGGAGGGGCTGGTAGATGGATGGGTAGGGTGTGGGGGGTGGGAGGGTAGCAAGGAGTGTGTGAAAATTGCCAAGGCTCTGATTTCACCCCCAGAGTTTTGGTTCAATAGGTCTTGGGTGGGGCCTGGGCATCTGCATTTTAAATAAAATCCCCTGGGAATTCAAGAGCAACCCAGATCTAATAACCTCTGACTACGTGGCCTGAGGTGAACAGAGGGGTGGGGGAACACAATCAATTCAAATAGGGCAGTGCCATTAAAATTGTCATTATGGCCTGAAAATACTGAAAACTGAGTTACCTACCATATGATCCAGTGATCCCACTCCTGGGCATAAATAATAACAAAATGCCAATTCAAAAAGATACATACATCCCAGTGTTCATAGCAGCCCTACTTACAACAGTTAAGAAACGAAAGCAACCTAAATATCTGTTGACAGATAAATAGATAAAGAAGATGGTGATGGAATATTACCAAGCCATGAAAAAGAATGCAATATTGTCATTTGCTGCAACATAGATAGACCTAGAGATTATCATACTAAGTGAAGTAAGTCAGATAGAGGAAGACAAATATTAATATGCTCTTCTTTATATGTGGAACTTAAAAAATCATATAAATGAACTTGTTTACAAAACAGAAATAGATTCACAGTCATAGAAAACAAAGTAATGGCTACCAAAGGGGAAAGGCAGAGAGGGATAAATTAGGGGTTTAGGATTAAAATGGTCTTCCCAAGTGACGCTAGTGGTAAAGAGCCTGCCTGCTAATGCAGGAGACATAAGAGATGGGAGTTTGATACCTGGGTCACGAAGAGTCCCTGGAAGAGGGCATGGCACCCACTCCAGGATTCTTGCTTGGAGAATCCTGTGAGCAGAGGAGCCTGGCAGCCTACAACTACACCCTACTATATACAAAACAGATAGCCAACAAGGTCCTACTGTATGGCACAGGGAACTATACGCAATATGTTGTAGACTGTAGTGTGCCTGGAACTGGCACAACACTGTAAATCAACTACATTTCAATAAAATTAAAAAAGTAAACCCTAAAAATCATTTAGGGCGCACCCATATTGCAGGTATGCTTCCAGGGGCTGGAGCTAGAGTGGAGAGCAAGACACATCTATGTTCTCATAGAGCTAACAGTCTAACAGGAAGACAGACATATAAGAAATCCATAAACCAACCAAGTAATAAGGCAATTGCAAACTGTGATTGGTGCCAGATTGCTGGGATAGAGAATAAATAGGTTGAGGTGGGGTGGTGGGAAGCCCTCTCTGAAGAGGAGTCAAAACCTCAAATATGTGAAGGAACTGACCCTATGCGAATGTGTAGACAGATGGGTATTTTAGAGAGCAGTAACAGATTACGCAAAGGCCCCGAGGCAGAAAAGACCATTACAGCTCAACCAAGGGGCCTTCACGTGAATCATGTCCTATTTGGCCCTCCAGGACAGATGCAGTGGCCAGGACACATGTGAGGCAGAATCACTGTGGATAATGGCCCTCAAAGATATCAGGTCATATTCCCACAAACCTGTGAATACTGATAGCACAAGGAAGTCCGAAGATGTGGTCCAGTTAGGGAACTTGAGATTACCTGGATATCCGGG